CGGGGCGGCGCGGAGACGTGTGAGCGCCGGGACGCACCGCGGTAGGAGGCCCGCTCGCGCCACCGTGTGGCCGCCGCTGCTTCCCGCCAACGCCCCCTGCACCTGTCACCGGGATGCAGCTGCCCTCAAAAGCTGGGCATTCGCAGGGATTGAGGTTCAAGGGCAAATGGTGTGGGGCCTTCCTTTCACCAGCCGTTTGCACCTTGGAGAACGGGAAGAGGACCTGAGAAAAGAAATAAGGGGAGCGGGGGTGACGTTCAAGAACATCTAAATGTTCTGAAAAGAGGCTTAAGGGCACAGCTCTTCTGGGATCCCCCCACCACCACCCCTGACCACGCCCCCGGGCCTTCCTAACTTCTAAAACGCCTTCACTTCGTGTAGAAACGTCCAGAGAAGCCACTGGATCTCTGAAAGGTGTATTTTATAAACATCAAAAGCCCTTGGGGAGGTATAAAGTCATCACCTCCTGCAGTCTGAGACCTGGATTCTAAGGTCGCTTGTCTGCACAAGTGACCTCGCTTCAGAGCAAAACATGACCCCAGAGGCAAGCTGAAATGCCAGCCAGGGCTTCCATTTTCCTCCTTGCCTCAGGCAGCCACTGGTTTTCTGGTGCTGGTTTTTATGATGTAATTTCTGGAAGGAAAGCCTGCATCCCTGAATTCCAGCTAAAGGTTGTAAGAAACCCGCCCCTCCCTACACTCATCGCCCCTTCGCACCATCTCAGTGAAAACAAGGCTTTTCCCTGAAGAATTTGATGCACCTGGAAACCCTGGGCAAAGGGCCAGTGACATTCAGGTGAATGTTCTTTTCAAGGGTGGGTACAGGATCAGGGAGGAGTGATTAGCCACCCCTCCCCAGGGGCTTCAAAAGCAGCATTCCTCAGCACACATCCTCAGACAAAGCACACATCCTCAGACCAGCTTCCTGGCACAGGAAGAAGTTCAAGTCAGAAAAAAAAGAGTCCCATCTCTCCTGTGTTATTTCTTTTCCTGAATGAGTCCTCTAAACTTACTGAATGCCAAGGAGCTAATGCGATTAAATGTACAAAAGGTGTTGTATGGTGCGCCTGACAAGAATACGCTATGGCCCCTGGTGCTATATTAAGACAGATCTTTATCTGGTAAGAGGAGACCACCATCACTTCATGTCCCCATCACACATTTGTTCTTGAGATTCCTCTTCTAAAATGAGCAGCCTGCCCACCTGACCCTGATCAGTTAACACCTCATTAGGTGTCAGGGCACATGGGCGGCTGAGAAGAGGACTCAGGAAGCAAGGGTAAGACCAAGGGGGAAAAAATGCCTCTACAAATGGAGCGCTGGTGGCTGGGTCGTGGGAGACGTGCTGCTAAAGGGAAGGTGACCAGTTCAAACCAAGCAAAGGGGCAAAGGAGAAAGATGAGCAGTTCCCTCCTGCCCTCTCTCCCCCACCCACAAAAACCATTTACAGCCTCTGAAAACTCACTGGAGAGTCACCTGCGGCTTTACTCTGACTCATTGGCAACGTGGGGAGTTTTGAGACCAAAAGGAAGCCCATTGTTTCATGCCGGTTTTTACTTACGGGTTTTTTAGATCAAAACAGAGCCCATTAATCAAGTCAAGTCTGACTCATGGTGACTGGTAGACCACAACGACCCCAAGACTAACAAACTTAAAGGATGCAGCTAATGGATTTGAACTGCTGGCTTTGGAGGTTTTTAACAATGATGCCACCAGGGCCACTTTACATCCACTAGAAGTGGCTAACCATTGGACTGCATCATCACAGCGAGCTTCTACTGTTTCCAATTTTAAATGTTGGGGTTTGGTATAATGCTGGTGTAATGTTACTGAATTACAAAAACCAGCAAGCCGAAGAAAACATCTCTTACATAACTAGTACTCTAAGAACAGGTCTGATGTGGGGTTGGTTCTGACTTGATGGTAAATTGTTCTTTGCATGTGAAAGCTGGACAAGAAGACTGGAAAATAACTGCTGGTGGCCTTTGAATGGTAGTATGGGTGAAGATTTTTTAGTACATTATGGACTGACTTCTAGGAGGATGAGCAAATCTGTCTTAGAAATAGTGAAGTCCTCATACTCGTTCGGAGCAAGGGTGGTGAGACTTTGTCTTAAATATCTGGATATTATATTGGGAAAGGCCATCCTGGAGAGAGACATCATGCTTGACAAAGGGAAGCGCTTGAGAAGCTTCTCCAAGTGCTTTAAGCCATCTTTGTTAACTGTCATCTTCATGTTGTTGTTGTGTGTACCGTCAAGTCAGAACCAACCCAGAGCTGACCCTCCAGCAGGTTTTCAGAGGCTCCTTTGAATGCTGAAATCCAGGCCTCACTGGGTCACAACAACAGCCCTTCTGCCTCTCCATCCTCACCCAGCTACTTCACTCTGAGGAGTGTGACACAGGCATCCCAGGAAGGAGCTTGGATCTTCCTCCGTTGTTAGTGAAGAGACCAGGGCCACCTCTGTGCAAATAATCCCTGGACCATTAATGCTTTTAACACTATTAACCCCTCCTCATCTCTGCTCCAAGGATACTCAACCTCAGCTGCATATTGGAGTTTGAAGACACTGTGACACTTGGGCCCCACCTCCAAGATTCTGATTTAATTGGTCTGGGGTGCAGCCTAAGTTCCGGTTCTTAAAAGCACCAGGGGTAGTACCAATGAAGCCTGAGAATGACTATTGTTGAGGCAGAGAACACTGGCCAATAGAAATGTAAATCAAATCACATCTGTGATGTCAACATTTCTCGTGGTTGCATTTAAATAATTGGGGGCAAAGATGCTGACTTTAGTATTTTATTTATCAGATTAAAATGTTATAATCTTTTATAAAAAATGTTACTCTCTTAATATATAATCATTGTTTTAAATTGTCAATGAAACGATCACTCTTATTTTGTAATAAGTCTCCAGTGTCTAGCACGTTAATGCACACAGACAAGCCACATAGGAGATACGGCAGAACAGAGGGTCAGCGAAGAAGAGAAAGGCCCTCTCAATGAGATGGGAAGACAAATGGACAGGCACAATGGTTGTAACGATAGGTTCTAGCACAGCAGCAACTGTAGGATGAGGCGGAGTCTGGAGGACCAGGCAGGGTTGGTAGGACAGGGCAGGCTCTGTAGAAAGGGGCAGGATCTGGAGGACAGGGCATGGCCAGAAGGATGAGACAGGGTCAGGAGGATGGGGCAGGGTTGGTAGGACAGGGCATGGTCAGGAAAACGGGGCAAGGTTTGTAGGACAGAGCATGCATGGTCAGGAGGACAGGGCAGGGATGGTAGGACAAGGCAGGATCTGGAGAATGAGGCAGGATCCAGAGAACAAGGCAGGATGCGGAGGACGGGGCAGGGTCCAGAGGCTGGGGCAGCATTGGCTTCTGTTGTACACAGGGTCACTGTGACTAGAAATCCACTTGATGGCACCTAACAAAAACAGCATAGAAAAATGGGCACCTGTGGTAGGCTGAATAACTGCCTCCCCGAGAGAGTGCTCCTTGGACAGGCAGGGATGACGAAGCCTTATCTCTCATACTTTGGGCATGTTGCTAGGAGAGGCTATTCCTTGGATAGAAGGTCAGGAAAAAAAAAAAGGAAAGAAAAAGAGGAAGACCTCCAGTGAGATAGAGTGACATGGTGACTAAGCAAAGGGCTTCGGTGTGTCAGAGATGATGAGGACGGCACATGACAGGGCAGGATTCAGCTCTGTTGTTCACAGGGTCATGATGCATCTTAATCAAATCAATGGCACCTAACAGCAGCAGCAAGAGATAGTCTAAAGAAGCCTGGTAGTACACTGTATGAAACACTGGCTGCTGACCCAAAGGTTAGTGGTTTGAAGGGAGGAAGGTGAGGCAGTTTGATTTCATAAAGATGTACATCCATTGGAAACCCTAATTGGTAGTCATGCTCTGTCCTGTAGAATCACGACAGCCAGAATTGACTCAGGGCAGTGGGCAGGTTACAGTGAGTATTGTGTTGAAAATTTCCTTTTATGACACGAAAGGATTTTTCAGGGATGATTAAATTCAGGATCTTGAGGGGGAGATATTTTTCTAGCTTGTTCAGGTGGGCTCTAAGTACAATTTATATAGTTTGGGGTTTATTTGTTTTTTAATAAGCAGTAAGCAGAGGAAGACTTCACACAAACACAAGACGAAGCAATGTGATACAGAAGCAGAGAGTGGAGTGATGCATCCACAAATCAAGAAATACCCCCAAAACTGGAAGAGGCAAGGAATAGAATCTGTACCACCCCACTACTCCACCCTATTCCACCCCATTCAGAACATCTGTGGGGGGAGACAGCTTTTCCAGCCTCTCGATTCTAACATTCATTTCAGACTTCTGACCTCCAGAACTTAGAGAATAAGTAATTATCTTTTGTTTTTAACCACTTCGTGATGAGTTGTTACAGCAGCTACGGGAAACTAATACAAACTAAGACAAAGCACTTCATTTTCATCTGTGCTGTTGGGGTCAATCTTTGTTATTCTCATCTTACAAGATACAAATACATTTCTCATTCAAGATCATGGCCTTTGGGAGGGCAGGGCATTCACTGCAGTCAGGGAGGTTTTGACTCATAATAATCTTCCATTGGGTGTCTGAGGCTGAAGATCACAATGGGAGGAGGCTGCCTCTCTTTCTTCCACAGAGGCACTGAGGGGTTCAAACTACCAGAAATGCACAGCTTTGTTAGCAGCTCAATACTTTACGGATGATGCCACCAGAGATCCCTTGTGGAGGGCAGGAAGCTGTCTTACTCATCAGTGAACTCCTGGCCCTCAGAGAACTTTTTGTCCTGTTCACAGTAGGATTTTTATAGGAACACAGGGAAGTTCTTCAGATGGATCTGGGGCTCAGCCTCTGAGGTGTTCATATTTTGGTGTGCATTTAGAGAAAGCCTGAAAAGAAAGCTTTCCATATGGGAAAGTTCCAGACCTCAAGCAATCCAGATGTCCATTTTCTCACCCTGGTCCCATGAAGTGCTTTGAGAGACTCTAACCCAGACATAGAGAAAAAGAAGAAAGTGCTAAAAGCAGCGACTGCCTGACAGAACTGGCCTTCAAAGGGCAACCTTCAGAGGAACAGGCCCACCCCTGCCAGTCCCACCGTCCCACTGCAAACCTCCCACAGGAGCTGAAGCTTGGCAGTCCCCTCACTGTGGCTTGAAATAGCCACAGGCAAGAGCCTCGCAAGTGAAAATGCTTCTTCACACATTTGTCTGGAGAAAAGCTGACTTCCATGTTAGGAGAAAAGATGTAAGATTGTTTGGGTTGTTTTTTTTTTTCTCCTAACCCAGAAATCACCTGTCCTTATTGATGAGGGCAAGCTGGACTAGCAAATCTGCTCTTAGGGACCAGGACAATGTCTCAAAGAATAGTCTGGGCCTAGCTAGCAAAATTATCAGTAGACTATTTGTTTAAAGTTGTTGATTGCAAGGGGAGCTCTGGTGGCCTAGTGGCAAGAAGCTGCACTGCAATCCCAGAGGTATGAGGTTCAAATGTACCAGATGCTCTTCTGGAGAAGGAGGGGCAATCTCCTCCTGTACCAGTCAGATCTGATTTGATAGTACACACACAAAAATTAATAAAAGTTTTTTTAAAAAAGAAAGTTGTTGACTGCTGTTTGGTCAAGCACAACTCATAGTGACCCTATGAACAAAAGGCCTGAAGTACCCTTTAAAAGTTAAAGTATGGATA